TAAATGGCCAATCATAAGATTGATTTATCGCTATTATAAATGGCTGCCGAATAAATCAAACTTATGATTGGCCATTCGACGCCATTTTTAGTACATTTTTAATATTTTCTAATACTTTTGCGATACTGCCATAAGCCGGTCGCGCTTCTCTGATAATCTAGGGACTTTACTCTGCTCTTGCTATCAGCGGGCGCGAGTTCTGATTGGCTTCTGCTTTTCTGTCAAGAGGTATGAATTAATTTTCACTCCTTAGGCCAATTAATACTATTAATAGCTGTGTTTATTTGTGTTTTCTAAAAGAAAAGTAGTCTTTATCACATTATATTCGTAGTCGTAATTGATCGTCGATAGCATATCTCGCGCGATCGATAGTGACAGCGCCTCGCGCGCGGATTGCGGCAATTTCGAAAATCGAAATTGTCGATTTGACTCGACCGCGTCGTGTCGCGTCGCGTCGCGGGCGTCGCGGCCGGCGGACCGGCGGCGTTTAAGGACGCACCATCTCGCGGGACAGTCACGTACCGCTTGTTAATTTTCATTGTCACGTGACTCGTCGGGCCAATCGTGGCGGATCGGTGACCCTATACGTGGCATAAGGTACGAATCCTTTCTACACGTCCGCCATTTTGACATACGGTACTTTTCGAGAGTGTTGGTTTTATGTTTTATCGTTTCTCGTGAAAATAATCTTTTTTACTGAAACGTAAGTAACGCAAGTGGCATATATGTGCAACGTGGCGTCACCAGAGAACTTGATAGTAAGAGCAAGTCTCTGGGTAATGGATCTTTGAGCGGGGAACCTTTGACGATTCACTGCGGGGAGTAGGTCGAAGGTGACAGGCAACCGGGTGTACGCAGTGGCTTCGCAAACCGCACGCGATATCGCCTCGACCTCGCTCGCGCGTTGGGGGTATCACGCTCCACTGGCTTTTTAAATAGTACCAACACCCTTAGAAAAAGTTACGAATACTGCATCGAATAGATCGTCGGGGCAAAGCCAGTGTCTGTGTAGCGATTCCCGAGGGTATGCTCGAGTCCGATAATCATAGCGATTTTATTGAGACTGAGAATCAATAGCGGGCACAGCTTGAGCGTCTCGTGCGTGCCCTTTCATTACCTTTCTTTTTTCGCCCCCTTCCCCCCCCCTTCTATTTTCGACGAAAGGTATCGCGAACATACGCTTCCCGCCGTGTCGAAATTCATTGTCGTTCATCGGCACTGCCTGTCTCGCGCGGCTGCTTTTTAAACGCAATCAGGTTAGTTCGCGCGAAGCTTCGGGATTGTAGTTTTACATCGTGTACACGAGGTATGCGAGGTGATCGCGTGGCCTGGCCACGCGTGAAAGATCCTAAAGTTGGACATAAAAAAATCAGAGTGCCGCGCTTCTTGAAAAATGTGTCTTGACAATTCATATCGCCCGCAATCGGTGATCCCCGAGTCTTCCTCGCTCACATGCGAATAGCTATTCTCCATCTGTCTGTTTCTCACAATGTTTGCCCATTAAATTTGTGTCCATCTTCTGGGCCTCGATTTTATGCGATTTTATACACAAGAGACTGAAGAAACAGAAAAGAATCGACATCTTTACACACGTACATACATATTTGGGTGTTTCATAATCGTACAAATGTTAGCTGGCATTTATCTATGTACATACATACGTACGTACGTACGTACGTAAATAGCGTCTTGTAACATCACATGCATATTTGGCACAGCCAAATAATATTGCATTCGTTTAAATATGTAAACTTAATTTTTTGTTACATAAATACTATGATAAAATATTGCATATACATCTGTGTATATTAAAAAAATATAATATACAGATATAGCCACGTTATACTTTTTATTGTATCGCTCGATCTTAATTGTATGAATACATAATTTGTGAGCTTTTTTACTATCAAGTATAGTATGCAGGGGGTGCGTTAAAAAATGTTATATCATTTTATCTTTGTTATTCATTGAATGTTAAAGATAAAATGATATACAGACCACCTGCACAAACGTAGCCCAGGAGTAGTAGTCCCTGCCCCATTGTTGCTTAAGATAATAATGTGTTTGTAGAAAAATCTCACATAAATCCCATTACATATATTTTATTATCAATATGAGAATATTATTAACTATTTTTGATTGTATTACAATGTAATGTATATGTATGCACACCTGTTGTATATATGCATATATACATGTATGAATATGTATATACATATGTTTAGGTCCTGACGTACAAGTACCAATCATGGGGAATATGTTTGCAACGTTATTCAAAGGTCTCTTTGGCAAAAAAGAAATGAGGATTTTGATGGTGGGTCTTGATGCAGCGGGTAAAACCACAATTCTGTACAAACTAAAATTAGGGGAAATTGTTACTACAATTCCCACTATAGGTAAGTATGCATACTTGTCTTTTATAAGCACATATAATTTAAAGAATGTGAAATATTAAATAATATTTTGTACATTTCATTCATATAAATAATTACAATTGTATTAATTTATTGATACCAAAGTAACTTTACTTAATACTACCAAATACTATAATAATTTGTAAATACGTTAATTACTTTACATGTAAATATATTTTTTTTTTTTTTAGGTTTCAATGTAGAAACGGTCGAGTATAAAAATATAAGTTTCACTGTATGGGATGTGGGTGGCCAAGACAAAATAAGGCCTTTATGGCGACATTATTTTCAGAATACACAAGTATGTATTTCATTGATTGTAAATTGTTAATATTAATATTGAATACACATAATGCGCGCGCGTCGTAGCTTGTAAAAGACAGCAAAAATGGATGAGATGTGTTACCAAAGTGGGATATCTTGTTTCTCTTTTTCAATCCACTTATTGGATTTATTGGACAATTGAGTCACGTGGATTTTATTTTCATTATATTATCATTGTGATTATATCCCATTATCAAATCTTTTTATACCTTATTTATAGGGCTTGATATTCGTCGTTGATAGTAATGATAGGGAACGTATTGGTGAAGCGCGCGAAGAATTGATGAGAATGCTGGCGGAAGATGAACTCAGAGATGCGGTACTCCTCATATTTGCTAATAAGCAAGTAAGTACATAATCTTTCGTCAAATTTGTATAAGCTGGATTCTCACTGGATAAGCAAAAGACGATATTAACGAGTAACATTAACATTTCAGGATCTGCCAAATGCAATGAACGCAGCAGAGATCACCGACAAGTTGGGATTACATTCTCTACGTAATCGCAATTGGTATATCCAGGCAACGTGTGCCACGAGTGGAGACGGACTTTACGAAGGCCTCGATTGGCTTTCCAATCAGCTGAAAAATGCCAATCGCTAATTGGAAAAATTACTCTGTCAACATTCAGTTGCTATTAACATCATACAAAAATAGCTGCACGTCTCCTCCCCCCCTCTGCTACGAATGAGTAACATAAGAAACAAATGATACAATCATCGCAAGCTCTCCAAGATCTTGAGTGGAAAATGAATATAGAGGTGTTATTCCTGAAAGTTGTCTCTGTGTCAGTAGGTTTTTTTTTTTGAGGGGGAAGAGGAGCGAGGAAGCGGCCGCAGGCACACGATCGCGAACGGCCACATCGGACTATTGCCTTGCGCAACTTATTATAATTATTATTATTATTATATTAGCATTATATATAGTTACACTTTTTACACAGAGATGCCACAAGAATGTGGAAAACTTGGAAGTAATATTAAAGTACCTAACTCTGAAACATACGATACACATTGATTAATGAGTAATTTAAATGATACCTCTTTGGTGAGAAATTTAACAACATAAACACACATACACACATGAGAAAAAAGAAAAGGTAAAGTACCCACAGTGTTGCCAGTTTTGAATGCGTTGGACATACCGATTATCATAATGTAGCTGCATATTGTACATTACATTATATAAATATGATAAAAATGTGATCGATAGACGAGAGAATGTTGCTCTGTCCACTACATTTTCAAAAATTGTTCTCGCTTCGACCCAGCGCGATTTACAAGAAAATGCAAACAGTGATTGCAGCAGACTATGCAATGACTTATCATTTCCTAGTTACAAAAGTTTCTTTCTATTTTTTTAAGTTCTCGGTGAATAGAAAACTTGGGAAAACGGAAAATATGGTTAATTATTGCTAACTGGTCATGGCAGGTGCGTATCTTCCTTTCACCTGTCCGCCTTCAAACTTACAGTTGTCCAAACATATATGTCTCGCTATAAAGGAGAAGCGATTTATTTATTCCACCTCAATAAGGTATATTAGAGTATATCCTTGACATTCCGAAATTCCGCAGTGAACGTGATGAAAAATTCAGAGACCCGAGAAAGAAAGAAAGAAAGAGAGAGAGAGAGATTTATAAAAAGGCTCTCGAGCTGTCAGCGAAGAGTCAGGCCTCGTAGCTGTTAAATTCATAAATTTTTGCTATTGTGGCGTTATACGTCAGCAATTTCGAGACTAATTCGCGGTCGTTCTTCGATGTCCCAACGTTTTTCCTGTCTTTGAAATACATTGTTTTTATGATATACTCCTCCCCCTAATTTTTCATTAAATCGCCTTTTCGTCATATGCGAAAATTCGTATAATTATGTATGAATGTTTAAACAATTTGTGAAATATATTGTAATTGTGCTTTATATACGTAGTGTATACATTATTCGCTATCAGAGCATACAGTTCTTTTTTATTTTTATTTTTTTAGGTGTCATTAGTTAATTCGTTAACTCTGAACGCATCTTCCGCGTGTTCGTGTGACGTGAAGAGGCTAACCTTAGAATATATATGCTCTAAGAGGCTAACAAGCTTTAATATACAAAAATAGCGGCAACAGATATTTATACGATAAAGCGATTCTTCATCATCGATTATTCTCGCATCCTAAAATGTAGATGATGCGCGCGCGTGTGGTGTGAGAGAAAAGGAGGTAAGGGAAGAGGGGTGAAAGAGAGAGAGAGAGAGAGAATTAGAATCACTTCTTTACTATGGACTGCGAATATACTTCAGACCTATATTGTCCATTTTGAAACAAGATTTGTTTTTCTTTTAAACATTTGATTATAATTTAAGAAAATGTGTATATATATATATACATGAATTTGTTTGCAAAAAATTGTTTTAAAGCGGGAATTACAATTTCTCCAGTGCCGAAATAAAATAAAAATCTTAATGGATAAAACGAAGAATTTGCTTATCCATATATATATAACGTGTCTGTGTGTGTGTGTGTGTATTCGTTGACAATAAGACGCTGTTGCTGCAAGACGATACAAAAGATTTAAAAATATTTCGGTAAGATAATTGAAATGATGTCATTTTAGTTTACGCGGCGAGAAATGCTAGCTTACGCCACGTTCGATAATCATCTCTTTTATTCAATCTATTTTATTACGATGATTAATTTTGTTGTTTTGGTTTTTTTTATATAATTTCTCTTTTTCACACGAGTGTGCGTATATACAGTAGGCATCGCATTAATTGATTAATGCGCCATACATTTTCGATATTTAGGCATTTATGGATCATAGTTCAGTAATTGAGATAATTTGACAAACTCGACAAGCGAATGGAAAATAAAACTCAAGATTAAAAAATACAAGACTTGTTGAACAATATTAAATTAAATTAGTTAATAAAAATTTTATTTATATAATAGATGATACATATATTTTTTTATATATTAAATAAATTTAATTAATTATGATGAATGATGTATCTCTAGACATGATCCGTCCGATTCGAAAATGTCTAACTAATTATAACATATAGAAGAGAAAATGGATAAATTAATGTCTATGAACTGTGTACCATACGCATATATAGACGCAACATGCGCACTCTCATGTATATATATATATATAAATATATATATATACAGCACCGAGAGAAAATATTTAAATAGTAATTTAATATTATTTATTTTATTAATCAACGTGTTCAGTCGTCATGATCTACTGCATCATGATTCATGACAGTTTCAATTTTTACATTATTTATACAACGTATAAAATATCGTAAATACACATATATCATGCACCAATTCGATTAGAAATATAATTATAATTATATATGATAACATTTACATATACTCACAATTAAATTAACACACACAATAAAAATATATTTTTCGAAATAAAAATTTCGATATTCGCGTACACACATATTTACAATCGCGGAATTAAATGCGATTGTGATAAAAAAATGAAAGTGTTATCAATTAAAATCACGATTATATAAACAGCGATAAAACTGCGTTTTTGGAGATATTATATCTATGTTATTATTTTGAGATATTCTATATGTATAATAGAACTCATCAGTGAGAATTTAAATGACCCTCAATTCAATGTCGAATTGATGTCGATTTGACTTTGAAATTTGAATTCTGGGAATTAAAGCTCTATAAGTGGTATGTATGTACACGTAGCAATTCGTGATGTAAAATTTGAAGTGTCACCAAATATTATTAATGAAAAATATTTTTGCGCGTAAAAAAAGGAAAAGATAAAATTATTTAGAAATTTTTATTTGGATGATGATCATTTCATTTGCAACGTGTAGCTTAATCTAACCAAGGTCGCGTCTCTCTCTCTCTCTCTCTCTCTCTCTCTCTCTCTCTCTCTATCGAAATTTATTTCTCGCGCTCGCCAGGGCCGCGATTTGCCGGCACGCACAGAAAAAAAATGTATTTATATATTTATATATAATAAGCGTCAATCACGACATTTTCGCTATTTGCTGTCGCGCGAGATTGAAAAAGTGCAATATTTAACGAGACGTACACACGCATCTTATCGGTTATCGACAGCCGCTTTACAACTTTACGAGTGATCTCTTTTGTTTGCTCGTGTGTACGTACATACACACATAGATGGAAGACAAACCAAAACGCGAAACACGAATGCGAATAAGGAGCTCTCCGATATACAGGTTATCTGTCACTTCTGTCAGTATCATCGCGCGGAAGAAATAGCTCTTATCAACAACGGCATCCACGGCATCAACGGCTCGGCAATTCATTGTAAAACATTGTAAGATATGGTGGCAAAGAAAAGGAGGTTTATACGCGTGGAGAAGGCCGGCCGCGGCCGGGCGGGAGGGGTCGATAAGAGAAATCGAGCCGGGCGTACTACGTGGAATCGTGAAAGTGAAGGTATGCTGCCGCTGCCGTTCCTACCCGCGGGAGAGGCCGATCGTATCCGATGAATACCTGTTACCTGATATTCGGTCCTTCCCTCGCTCTCGCTGGCTCGCTTCATTCTCGCTCGCATTCCCCGTTCGCGTTCGCGTTCGCGTTCGCATTCGCATCCGCGTCTTGACGTGACGTGACGTGACGTGGGCAAATATTGAAGGATTTACAGAGAATACGCGACGCGTGATAAGAGAATACATTGTATATACCTTCACAAGTGTTTACAAGTGTCAAAAACATAGATTGTTGGCAAGTATGGAGCGCATAAGAGACAAGTTGAGCGAGTACCACCAGGAACATCTGCTCAGATTTTGGGAGGAGTTGATGGATGAGGATAGGAATCAGCTGGAAAATGATGTAGATGAACTTGATCTTAAGGAAATAATGGGATATTTTAAAAAGGCTATAGAATCTTCCCAGTGCATTGTCCAGAAAACACTGGATGACAAGATACAGCCGATTGATGAGACTAAGATAGCTTCTGTCAAGACATCCACTGAGGAAGAGTTGAACATGTATAAGGAACGTGGTTTGAAAGAAGTAGCCGAAGGTTGCGTCGCTGTGTTATTGTTGGCAGGTGGTCAAGGCACGCGTCTAGGAGTTACCTATCCTAAGGGAATGTACGACGTTGCATTGCCATCGCATAAAACTCTCTTCCAATTGCAGGCAGAAAGAATACTCTGTCTGCAAAATATGGCGCAGCAACAGTTTGGAAAACATGGAGAAATAACTTGGTATGTAATTGAGAAAATCATTACAATGTAAATATAATGTATAGCAAGGAAAAGAAGAGATATTGAGACATTACACATTTTATTTTCTAGGTATATCCTTACTAGCGAAGCCACTCACAATGCAACTGTCGAATATCTAAGAAAATGCAACTATTTTGGTTTAATAGAGAAAAATGTCAAAGCCTTCAAACAGGGCATGCTACCATGTTTTACCTTTGATGGAAAGATTATCTTGGATGAAAAGCATCGTGTTTCCAAGGCTCCCGATGGTAATGGAGGATTGTATCGTGCTTTGAAAAGTCAAGGAATATTAAACGATATGATACAACGTGGTATCCGAAGTGTTCACGCACATAATGTAGACAACATCTTGGTGAAAGTAGCAGATCCTATATTCATTGGATACTGCTTGATATCTGAAACCGACTGCGGAGTTAAAGTGATTGAAAAGTCTTCTCCTTCTGAAGCTGTTGGTGTAGTTTGCAAGGTATGTTCTTCTATTATATATATATATATATATATATATATATATATATATATCCTTTAATATCCTCTTGTAATATATAATTATACATATAATTATATAATACATATGTATTTTTTATAATCTCTCCCTCTGTCAATTATTTTTATTGCAACTAATATAGGTAGAGGATCACTATCAAGTTGTTGAATACAGCGAAATAACAAAGGAAACTGCAGAGCTTCGACATGCCGATGGACAATTGATATACAATGCTGCTAATATATGCAATCACTACTTTACGGTCGACTTTTTAAAGGACGTTGCATATTTTTACGAGAAAGATTTGCATCTACACATGGCGAAAAAGAAAATTCCGTATGTTAATGACAATGGCGAAAGAGTCATTCCAAAAGTTCCTAACGGCATTAAGATAGAGAAGTTTGTGTTTGACGTGTTTCCTTTCGCAAAGAATTTGGCAGTATGGCAAGGAACGCGTGAGGAGGAATTCAGCCCGGTGAAAAATTCAAATTCCGCTGATCAAGATTGCCCGAACACCGCCCGCACCGATTTGCTCAATTTACATAAAAAGTGGCTGCTGAACGCAGGTGCAAAACATGTCGGAGAAAATGTCGAGATTTCTCCTTTGCTTTCGTACGCGGGAGAAAATTTGTGTCAAGTCGTAAATAACCAATCTTTCGTGGTGGGACCACAAGTTCTCGAATAATAAAGAAAAATAATAAAGAGAAAATTTCCATTCATCTAACAACGAGATATTCCGACAAGTGACATTTACGAGGCGTTTCCGAATAATGAAGATTAAGCATACATTTTTTTAATATCGTATCGTAAATGTATTTTGTAATAATCGTATTATTTTATATACTACATCCGATTTTTGGTATTTACATTTGTGCTTGCCTTTATTTCCCGGGATTATTGACAGGGATTAGAACAGGCTAGATTAGATAAAAAGAAAAGAAAAAAAAATCGTGTAAATACTGTCGATGATTATATATATATATAAAATTATAATTACATATATATGATTTATATATATATATATAATTTAGCTATATAAATTCAAATGTAATTTTGCTATAATCTGGCAATATTATTGTTTAGCATTTAAGTGTTGTGGCCATCACATTTTTATATACTGTTATATGTATGATATATACATGAAAGAAAAAGTAATAAATAATACAAACGTTTCTAATTATCTATAGTAAATCTAATTGTTTTTTATTGTAGTCACGCATAAGTTAAATTTATATATAAAACTGAATAGTACTATTCGTACGTGATTTTTTTTTAGACAATGTGATAAAAATTGAACTCAAATTTAGCGCTTTTCAACCTCACTTTTTTCAACCATAAACATGGAAAGGTGTTGATGGAAAGTTTATGTTTTAAACACTGAGCTATAGCTATATACACCTGGAATGGGCAAAATATAGTATATGCTGATTGGATCGCAACGTTTGCGACGGTGCGATGCAACTAAGGGAACGCACTCTAAAGGATAAAAATGATATCTCGAGTGAAAATTCGAACGCACCTTAAAATTTGTAAGACGTAACCACTAGATGTCGCTAGTGAAGTAATCTTCATACGCATGTGTTCTGACGTATGTAACGCTTTAACTCAAAATTGGAATATTGTTATAGAAATAAGTTATACTAAAATCTCTCTCTCTCTCTCTCTTGTACTTGATCAAAGATACCTACAAATACAATTGCTTAGCATAATATAATTAGCATTAAATTACCGTGTAATAGAGCTCAGTTTAGTGAAGTGAAACTTGTCACTCAAGAAAAATTGCAACAGTAATCGTTCAGTGTTCGTTCGAGAGTACACTCGAAGTAATAAATTTATTAATGTTATAAACAAAGCTTTGTACGAGAGTAAACTAATCATGGCTCATATTACTGACAAAGTTATGCGAATCCTGCACGAATGTCATCCCAATAAAGATGATTTTAAAGATAAGACAAAAGACTCGAGTGAATCGAAAGAATTAAGAGGGAAAATCGAGAAAGGAAAGATGGTGAAAATCAAGAGTAATACAGAGAAATTATTCGCAGATGCACGTTGCAACTATGCAGGTAGCGTTGAATATGCCAGTTTGAATAAAATGTTGGCAATTTGTAATTTAGAGGTAATTGAATCTTTATATTATATATAAATTGTAGTTAAAGAAATAGAAATAATTTTATAATTATATATTCAGTTTAGCTCTCCTCACTTTCGATTTTGACAAAATTAGACTCATTCTGTTATTCTACAAGATACATACATATATACATATACATACATATATATATATATATATATATATATATATATATATATATATACTGGTATATCGCAACAATTGTAAATAAATATATACGACAATTAGATATTTATACTATAAAGATTTATGTATGTATATTTATTCTTCCTTAGACTGGCAACGAAATTACAGCTATTCATCATTTGGTTGAAGCTCACGCAGTAATACTTCGACAACACATCTTGCACAGATATCAAAAGACTCAAATGCGTGAATCTGTGTGGAATGAATCTCAAATATATGGACTGAGACCAACACATGTAAAATTTGAAACAAAATTTACGAATAATAATGAATCGTTGAAAACAAAACTGTTAGACTTACCAAAAGGTATAAAGATATCTTTTACTTTTTATTCTTGCCTTTTATATATAAAGTTTATTAAGATTTTCCAAGTCTTTTCTCTTCACAGAATGGTACGTGATTCAGGTCACTGCCCAATATGAATCTCCGTCTATATTAAGATACGAAAAGCATACATCTACTGTAATACATGCAATACATATTACAATACTCCCTACGGGTACATCTGATGACATAGAACCATTGTGTATAACTGTACCGCGACCTACGACACAAGTTTCCTACGATATCTGCAAAGAGATTCAGAAACTATTAAATGGCTATACGTCTGCACTAAAGGCTACTCACACGAATCTTAAGCAATATTGGACGATGCGTGCAAATCAAAACAATAAAATGAAGGTAGATTTTTTAAATTGGAGCAACATATACATTAATTTAATAAGGGAAGCTTATTAAAGCTTCCCTTATTAAAGGGAAAGCTAAGTATTAAGCAAATTAATTACAGACGGCTATAAGCGAATTGGAGAATATATGGTTGAGAGAATGGAGAGTATTATTTATGGCTGATCCTATTGAAAACTTGAAAATAGTAGATGAGATTTATCAAATGATCGACAAATTAATATCAGATTTCAAATCTCCGTAAGTATTATATATTTATCGAAATTCCGAAATGGATTTGTCTTTATTGTATTTGAATTATGCATATTTTATTGTTCCACCACTCTTTTAGCATTGAAATATCAAAAAGATGTAGGTGGCTTTTGAGAAAGGTAATCGTAGGTGCTTGCTTTCTTACGCGTGAGGAAATAGCACGTGCAATTACATTTCTACTTCCTGGACATGAAAAACTTGCGAACAACATCATTTTATCTATTTATGGAAAATTATCATGTATAAGAAAACTAGAGAATACAAAACGGAAAACATTGGTTCTAATTATTGATGAGGTAAATGCATAATATGAGCGTAAGATTTTTGTTATACGCAGATACGCAGAGTTTATGTAAATTTATTTCGTATCGTAAAGATCTTTTTTATTTTGCCTTAAGCACATTGATTACATGGGATTTGAGGCCATGGAAGTTATCAAGAATCATCCTGTTACTCGTTTCCCATCTCTGCATGTAGCATATGCATTATTCAAAGAACACGAAGATACTATAGTGGAAGGTTGTAAACTAGTTAAAGGGAGAGAAGATATGGGAATTTGCCTAGTCAATCCATCCGGTGATCTTGAAAAAATGGAAAAACGCATGAAGCTTTTCATGGACTTTTGGTTACCGCAGTGGAAAAGTTGTTACAATATGCAACTTAAAGAAGAAATATTCCAAGATGCATTAATAAATCATGATATTCTAATGTATAAAAATTTTATTTTATTTCTCTATTGACAGTCGTTTTAATCTGCTTACCATTCGTTTGCTTGCACTTTTTTTTCTCGCCTCTCTTACAGGTATACCGGTCACGGAAACGGCATAGAATACTTTTCTGGAGAAGATATTGAAAGAATGAGAGTGAGATCTACCGTTTTATTATTTGGCTGTAGCAGCGTGAAACTACTTGTGATAGGTGGAAGATATCCACCTTATGGCGTTTCAAATCAATACTTAATAGCATGCAGGTAAAAAGAATATATTGTAATTATGTAATTAACGCCATGTATTGTCAAGAATTTCTCTCCGTTTATAAAAATCTGCGAGAGAAATTGCACACAAATCATTCCTTTTCTCTCATCATGTTCGGATCGAAAGGATCTGCATCTATGCATACGTGCATGTGTGTGTATGTACATATGATTAATGTATATATGAAATTTATAATTCTCAGTCCTTGCCTCTTGGGTATGCTGTGGGAAATAACGGATGCTGATATCGATAAAATGACTACAAATTTCATGAGTAATTGGATTCCTTCATCCTCAGAGAAATCATGGGCTGAGGTAGACGTTGATAGTTGGAGTTCTGGTACTCTAAGTTAGTATTAATTGAAAAAATTTTCAATTTTTCTTTCTTCATATTATGCAAGATAACTCTTATAACTAAAATTTTTCAGAATTTACAAAGAACGGAGCAAAAGACAAAACAAAAATGGAACCAGAAATGTTAAGGGCAGTGGCAGAATCTAAGAATAGTTGTTCGCATTACATGACGGCAGCTGCGATAGTAGTACGAGGTTTACCAATAAAAATAGTTTAAATCCTCACTCTGATTGTATTATTAATTTTATATATTTTTGCAACGCTGATGTAAGATAATTCAAGTTTCCAAGTCGCGTGGAATCGTCGTATGAAGCAATTATTTGCCGCAAGACAAGACCAAGACTGATTGCAGTAATCACTTGTGGAGCAAAATTATATTTTATTTTAAATATTTGAATGCGAAGATATCTTGAAGATGCATTTTATATAAAAATAATAAAAATGAATAAAAATTGATGTTTCAATCGATTATTGCCTTCATTGGAATCAAGCTCTCAAAGATTATCGCGTCTTTGGTCACATAATGATCTGCGGTTCTGGTACAGAAGTGGAAATGTTCTTGTGCGGTAAAACCTGTCCGCCATTAATATATAATTCATCCTTCACGATAACATCTTCTCCTAATACAGTTGTACCCTCCATTCGCACCCATCGTCCTACAACGCTTCTCCATCCAACGATACAACTGTTTACATAAATTTTTAATTACCTTGACATAAATATTACATATATTCTGAGGCTTTACATTTACAATACAATTACTTGCCCATCTAGCCAAGCATGCTCTTTTATCACAGCTGCCTTAAGAATAGTGCTTCGTTTAATGCAACATCCATCAGCTAAAGTGGCACCAGGACCAATTGTGACATTGGGTCCGATTCTACAATCCTTGCCAATTATAGCCGTTGGGTCTATCAAGACATTGCCTACTACACCAGGCCCAGAATAAAGCTGTTCGGGATGCTTTTGCCTCAATGACGCAAGATACATAGACATTCCTGAATAGAGTTATACAAATGAATAATTGACTCATACTTACATGATATTGAGATAATTGTAATAATTATTATAATATATAAGTACTTGCCTGTAAGAAAATCTTTAGGTTGTCCTACGTCCATCCAAAAGCCTGGCAATTCCATAGCGTATAATTCTCCATCCTGAGCCATACTTGGAAAGACTTCCTTTTCGATACTTGTAGGTTTCAATTCAATTCTATTCAATACGCTTGGATTAAGGATATACATACCTATATTTTGCAAAAAAAGAAGATATATGTATGCTGTGTGTGTGTGTGTGTGTGTGTGTGTGTGTGTGTGTGAGATTCATAAAGTTTTCCTAAACAAGTCTCAATTTTTTCATTACTGTACCTGCATTGATTTTATTAGATATAAATTCTTGTGGCTTTTCAACAAAACTTTCAATCTTTCCATCTTCTTCATATACAACTACACCATACTTTGATGGCTCCTCTACTTTGGTGACTACTATAGTTCCTTCCTTGCCATGATTCTCATGGAATTCAAGAAGCTGTTTAAAAGGGAAGTCGCAAATGATATCAGAGTTCAAAACAAAGAATGGGTCATCACTGGCACATAAATATTCACGCGCGAGCGCAAGTGGCCCAGCAGTACCCAATGGTTCTGGTTCATGAGAAAAGATAAGCTGTACTCCCAATTTCTTTGCCTCATGAACCAACTCTTCTTCCATCTGCTGTGCTCGATAGGAAACGGCCAATATAACTTCAGTTACATTTGTCTGTACCTAAAAACGTTTAAGAAGTATAATTAGAAAGAAATATTGCAAATCTTGTACTTGTATGAAATTGACATGATAAATAAACATTACAAGTTACTAAATACACACCAGTGCTTCGATCTGATGTAAAAGCATTGGTTTATTTGCAAACTCGACAAGTGGCTTGGGCCGACTTAAAGTAAGAGGTCGCAATCTAGTCCCATAACCACCCACAAGTATTAAAGCACGCATGGTTTGTAATTTTTTTCTTTTTTCATGCATTCCTATCAATTCTGCAAACATAATAAACAAAGGTGTTTTTTATTTTTTTAATTATATAATTAATTTACACAGTCTTAATAGAGTATTTTCTTGTATTTACTATTACATCACTTAATGTATGATAAAAGAAATTAATGTGTGTATGATTCGCTTTCTAATTTACAAATATATTCTCTAATAATATATTTGTAAAATATTATAAAGTTTATTTACTTATTGTCACTCCATCCCAATACATTACACATCATTTTCCTTTAATTATTGTAATGGTAATAATTATCATTGCAGTATTATATCGTTTATTGTCCCTTACTAAAATACACGACGTTACTTACATGACAACATTAACGAAGATAATCCGATAACATGCAATTATTGCCACGTAAGACGCCTTTTGATAGAAGCAAGTGCTACGTGTTCACCGTGCGTTTACGATGAGAACAATTCGCTTCACGAGATCACATTTTATTATCACAATGTGGGTGGACATAAACCTATATTATAAACATTAACTTATCATATCCTTTTTACTAAAAACACAAAAAGTAATGATGCTCTCATCCAGTTTTTGTTTTACGAATTTCTGTCGCAAATAAAATCCAATTAACGAGCAATATTACTGTACGCCATATTACTGCATATTACTCGTCGTCTGCTAGTCCTGCTATTGCCGCAGATGATAACGATCTTGCATGTATAATATATATATGCTTCATGTGTCATCGGGCGGGGCGGGTAATACGGATACCTGCTTAACCTGCTCTCGGGCGCGGGGGTGCGGGTAAACCACTTGTAAGTCATAACCTTAACCTCCAAAAAAAACAACCTAAAAGCAAATTTGGAGGAAACTTAAAATTCAAAAAAACCGAAAAGTATGTAAATATTGTGCCAAATAATTTCGGTGTGGGAAGACATCATATATGTACAAGAAAAAAAATTTTCATCAAAATGACCTGACAATTTGATCCCGTTCGTCCCAGTGATATTATTAAACAAGATAATGACTTGTGTACATAAAAGACTTTATACTGCATAAGAGCAAACCTGTTTTATTTAGACATGTAGAATACAGAGAGAAAGAGAGAGAGAGAGAGAGAGAGAGAGAGAGAGTTGCTTAAAGTGTTACACAATCATTTCCAGCTCTCGGGCATAATCTATTGCCAGCGCTGCCAATTCAGAACTCGGGATAGGCTCCTCGGATTTTTTCTCGCTAGTTGTGGTAAAGTAAAAATAACCATCCTTGGATAGATTCCAGTTCTTCTTGACGGCAAACGTTTTTATATCTTTCTCTGTACTTAAATTAAGCATCCTTGCGGCATCTTGAATGGAAATTTTATCGTACGCGCTTTCCATACACGCGCCAATCTCGTCGCGAACGGTATTTAATAAAATGTCTATGAAGAAATTGTAGGATGCGGCAGGCACATTACCCTTGGCTAGAAAAATCTTGTTGTACGAACCCTCCATTAAATATTGCTCCAAGCTCAAGGGATGCCTTATATAAACATTTGATTGTATCTGATCAGACGGCAGGAGTTCCAGCTCTGTGTGAAATTCAGCGACTCGATTTTGTGATAGCAGAAACAAGAGATTGAGACCGAGAAGCTGATATTTGTAAGCTGACTCCATCAATCCGGACTTATAATCGAAGTAGTAACATTTTAATTGCGCCATGTATCTCTCGAAGGATGGTATATCCTCGGTAGCGATGCTCCATTGGGCTCCAATTTCTAATATGTCTCCTGTATTTCCAACAAAATTTGAAATTTTAGTTACATTATCGTGTGACATTTGACGTACTACTGTTCTGATCGAGGAGTTTAAAATTAAAGATACATACTAGCAATTAACAGTTCATTTTGACTGGCCGTGCTATTTGACGTTGGGAGGAACATCAGATGAGTAAGACCGATCTGTACATGACATATATGTAATTACTTATTTATTTATATTATACAATATTACTCGTCAAATCACATCTAAATAGATATTTAAAAGTTAAAATCAAGTCAAAGTCAGGAGATGATTATTAAAATTCGAAAACAAAATTGACGGCAAATGATGACAATCCATTTCGACAAGCTACATAATGAGGTTATGATACTTTTATCAGCAATTATTTCGCTTGATACTGCGAGATCAAAGTATGTAAATAAATATCTTTACCTTCAATTGGTTGAGCAATTCACCACATTTTTTCAAATTACATGGCGTTCTTGTCCATTCGCGTTTTAAATTCTGATATAAAGCAACAACATCTTCGAGGGCTGCCATTTTCATAATCTCACCATGAAACATGAGATATCTCAGATGCGTCGTGCGACACAAGGAGTTCACTTTGCTCCCCCCGCCCAATTCCATACTGTGTTTTTGCCATCATTCCAATTCTGAAATCTGAATTATCTTTCCCAGCTTTGTACTTAATTATATTTTTATATATATTATTTTTTTTTGTTTTGTTATTTTTGTATAATTTTTTATATTTTCTATGAAAATTAAAACTGATTTGTTTGGCTGGCACTGTTTAACTTGAGGCACGAGGCATGAGGGCGCAACCAGCGGCAAGCGTATTATTCGCACTTGCGACGTACTTCGCGCGATGCGAGTTTGTAGTTGTTTCAAGTAGGGCGATCTTTACCGGCCTTCTACTTCCTCTTCTCGTGTCTGCTCGTGTCTCGGTACAATGGCGTCTGGAGTAAGTAGCTCTCATGTGGTTCTTCACCGGTCGGCATCCGCGCCGCGGAACGCCGACGCCGGCGTCGAATTATCGGAAAACCAAGTCCTCACAATGCGTTATCCGCCCCACTGTAAATTTCTTTCCAGATTCTTTACACCTACCCGGAAAATTTCCGAGCCTACAAGGCCCTGATAGCAGCTCAATTTTCTGGCACCCAGATTAAAATTGCCGATGACTTCGTCTTTGGCGAGACTAATAAAAGCGAAGCGTTTCTGAAGAAATTTCCGTTGGGAAAGGTAAGCTGAATTTTTCACTAATGGTTCGGAACTTTTACCAGATTTTCGTATGAATTTTTTTTTTATTTTGTATGCTGTGTAGTTGACACGTTTTTTCTCGTCACATATGATGACAGAATCTATAAAACTTTTGTACTTTTGCACTTTTGGTTTAGTTACAAACTACTAAAATACTATTCAGACAACGTTCTGTTATTATATTTCTATTATTTTCATATTTAAAATATTCTTATACACAAAAATATACAAAAATATAGCATTCATATGGTATGGTTAGAATGAAAATTAGCTCTCACATTCATACTACTACATAGGTATAGACTGCATTCTGTTATTTACTGTGAGTACTGAAAATTTATAGTTTACATTACACATGCTATAGATAGTATAGATTTTTAATACTTGCAGTAAATAATGTAACGCAGCTATAAAAATGTCTTATTTAATTGTGTAATAATATACCAATAACAAAATGAATAATTTTTTTTATATCGAGTTGGAAACACATGAGATAGAATCAGTGAGAAAGAATAGAAGAGTTAAAAAGAAGAGTGAAAAAGAGTGGGGGGAGAGAGAGAATTCTGTGAAAGCATTTATATTTTATAATGTCACAAGTTATGTAAAGAATCTTTCTTAATTGATGTCTATACAAATTGTAATAGAAAATATTTTCCAATATATATAAAACTTTTAAGGTTCCAGCATTTGAAACGTGCGATGGAAAATATATTACGGAAAGCAATGCAATTGCTTATTATGGTAAGAGATTAAAAAAACAATTATTTATCTTTTCTGTTATTTGTTTATTTTATATATACGTGTATGTGTGTGTGCCATATTTATAGTGGCTAACGAACAATTGAGAGGGAAAACAGATATTGAACGCGCGTTGGTTATCCAATGGTTAGGGTTTGCTGATTCTGAAATTCTTCCTGCCAGCTGTGCTTGGGTATTTCCTTTACTTGGAATAATGCCATATCATAAACAGGTATTTATTGTAAATTTTTTTTCTATTTTACATAGTCGCATCATTTATTTGATGTTGCATACATGATTACATCCTCCTTCAAAGGCAAAATTGGCGCAACTACATAGCCATTCTTTGTAACTCAAAGAGGTAGATTAAACTTATATGCGTATTATATTTACATGCATATGCGTGATGCATGTGCTTCTACTGCATATACTTACATTTATTTTGACATGATTTTTATACACGCACGCGCACAATAACGTAAAATAAAATAAAATGCTAATAATATAACATTAGTTAATTAAATTTGTGTGGTTTTTTTTTAAGACTGTAGAACACGCTAAAGAGGACATAAATAAAGCACTCTCTGCTTTAAATTCTCATTTGCTTACACGGACTTACTTAGTGGGAGAACGATTAACTTTGGCAGATATTTGTGTAGCTATGACATTGCTACATTTGTATCAATACATTCTTGAACCGGAACTACGTAAGCCTTACCAGAATGTAAATCGATGGTTCCAAACAGTTATTTATCAACCTGAATCCATTGCTGTAATTGGTGCCTTTAAACTGGCGGATAAGACTATTGAGTATGATCCCAAGAAATTTGCAGAAACTCAGGGAAAGGTTAATATTTCAATAAAAATATATAGGTATATAAAACTTTATTATTATAAGAAAGATTAATATACCATAAATTATTATTTCATGCAGAGTTCGAAAAAAGAAAAGAAAGACAAGGAATCTAAGAAGGAAGCTAAAGAGCCAAAAGAATCTAAAGAGTCGAAGAAAGAATCTAAAGTTGTAGCAGAGAAGACCTCGGCGGTAGAAGATGAAGCTGACGCAACCGAGGAGGCTGTAGCCGCCGAACCGAAAAAGAAGAATCCCTTTGCTTCAATGCCTAAAAGCTCGTTCGATCTTGATGATTTTAAACGATTTTACTCAAATGAAGATGAATCTAAATCAATTCCTTACTTCTGGCAAAAGTTTGATTCGGAAAATTATAGTATTTGGCTTGGCGAATACAAGTACAATAATGAACTAACGAAGGTAGTTAAGTTACTTGTTTGAGAAATATTTGAAAAATTGAAAAGTATACTCTCAGTCATTAACGTACGTGCTTTTGTATTTATGTAGGTTTTCATGTCCTGCAATTTAATCAGTGGTATGTACCAACGATTAGATTCATTGAGAAAAGGAGCATTTGCGAGTGCCTGTATATTTGGGGAAGATAACGACAATACGATCAGTGGTATTTGGGTCTGGCGAGGACAAGATCTGGTTTTTACAGTACGTTTTATACAAGTTGTATTCTTAGAATGAGGATATATAAAGAATAGATATATATATATTCGAATGGATAAAGATTAGTTTTGAATAAAACGTACACACACATATGTATATATATATAGGTATATATATTTATTTTTTCTTTTTCTTCAGCTAAGTCCAGATTGGCAAGTGGATTACGAATCTTATAGTTGGACAAAATTAGATCCATCTAAGGAAGAAACAAAGGAGTTGGTTAAGCAATATTTTAGTTGGACTGGCACGGACAAAGAGGGACGAAAATTCAATCAAGGAAAAGTTTTCAAGTAAATCTTGCATTAAATAAGAAGATGAAATAAAACAAAACTCTATTCAAATGAAATAAATCTAAAGGAAATGATAAAGTATCAGAAAAGTTTGCATATGCCCTTCAAAAACCCTGTATTTAAGAGGATAAAAATCAGCACCTGAGATCTCTCACTTAAATATATATTTATACATGTTCCTATCTATTTAGTATGAAATTTTCCTATACATAAACATCTACATTGCTTTATTGCTTTACAATATATATTTTTTGTTTCCAAAACATGAGAGATTTTATTGTGCGCGTATGCGTGGATGTATATACACATGTATAGGGTTGGGAAGTAATGCATTATTTGTAAAGCCATTACTGTTTTCATTACTTTTTTTCAATAACGATCACTATTTTTTTTTTTTTTTTTTTCTATTTGTAACGATAACGATAGCGCCGTTACATTTTTACAATATTGTAACGAACTTGCCATTACTTTTATCGTTACTTTTTTATTTTCTTGTTTTATGAGTTTTTAATTTACTTTTTTTGAAAAATATTTTGTACTGAAACTACATTCTCGTAGTCACTGTCAGTATTTAAAATCTATAATTTACATTACATATGCACTATTGACATGCACATTACATATATATTATAGATTTTCTATACTGACAGTGAATATTGGAGTGCATTCTTAATAATAATATTAATGTTTCAAAACTTAATCTTTCTATAAAAATAAAAAATATAATAAACCTGCTCTAATATAGACGTTATTACCTGATCTATATGTAGTTAATACTTGTGAGTTTCAAAATTTCAAAATTAAGTAACTGCTAAATATATATATATATATATATATATATATGTATTACTTAATTTTGGGACTCACATGAGAAATATTATATTTTGATTTTGAAATCAAGAGATATCAGTATGTTAATATTGATATCTGAGTTAAAAATGTTTCATATGCAATATATATATATATATATGTGCGTGCGCGTGTGTACTTAACGCATACTTAACATTTTAAAAAGATCAAGGACTAAAGATAATTTCTTTGATATTGTATTTTCGTAGAAATAAATTGAATATTGTTAAAGTCATAAAATGACGCCTCTTGTCTTCACAACAAATAAAAATTAATAAAAATTATATTTGTATATTTTGACAAATAAAGTACATGGAATAACTCTTATTGACTTTAACAAGAACTGCAAGTTATTTTGCAAGAAAATAGTGAATACACAACATGTTTTATATCAAACATTCAATGTTTATTGTATATTTACAGTATACAATTTATTGTGAAAACTGTATTAATGATTTTTAAAAACCTTTCGTGTTCATCCATTCTTTAACACGATTAACGTAATCACCTTTAAATTTAATTACGCCAGTAAATTCGTGTATCTGGCTAGCAATTTTTTTTCCCGTGCATTCCTCTATGTATTGCTTCATGTCCCGTTCCAACGTCCATATATCTCCTTGAATTTTAGAAATTTGTGTAATCCTTTTAGTTCCTCTAGGATTTCTATTCAAATACACAGGCTGCATGTAATTTCTTGTACGTTCTATAAAGTAAGGATAATCCATAGGCAAAGCTGTTAAATGAAAGAAAGAAAATTCAGTTATTCAGAGATGAAATGTATGTATGAAAAATAAATATATGTAATAATTTGTTGTTTACCAGACGCTGATTTATAGCCAGATGGGAGTTTAACATTTCCAATGGCTGGTTTAGGTATAATTTTGTATCCAAGGATACGCTCTACGTATTTCCATTCATTTAGATCTTTCGTAATCTCGTAATCTGTGTAATCTTCAGGTGTTGTATATTTGGAAGACGATTTGTAGCTACTCCATCTCTGTTGAATCTGAAAGACAAAAATGATTCCATTCATTTAAGACTTTTTTGTAATCTCGTAATCGATATAATCTTCAGGTGTGGTATATTTGAAGATGGAAGTTTATCATTGTCAAGTATAGACATAAGATGAAATTTTGCACTATTTGATAAAAAAACGTCACAAAATTTGCATTTTCACAATATAGGTACTTGTAAAAGAAAGTAAATGATGATGATATATATTAGATGATAGATAGAGCAGGTAGCATAGTTTCAATAATTTGAAGATTCACCGGTACTATTAAATAATATAATTGTAGAGTAAATCTTCAACTTTACATAAACACAAATCAAATTAATTTTGGAGATGAACAAAAATTGGATGGTATCGTAACGAATTTGTTGACAGATAATGGTCGAATCGATACGATTGTTGAATCACTCACGTTTGTAAATAACTGTGGGATGAACGGGTCGTGGAAGGTTATGGAAGATCTCCAACACTATAGATGAATCGCGTTTGTTGCCGAGTCTCTAATCGCGATCGTGCATTTAACGTAAAGTGAGCGAGCGCGCATAAGATGAGCAAATGTGCAGATGGAATTAATGAGTTGAAAACCATCAACAAATACACATGATGACGAGTGGCGAGCGCGCGCGCGCGCGCGCGCGACCCTTGGACAATGTCGTCCCAATCGTTGTAATTATGTCAAGATGACGAGGCACGAAAGATGTGGAATCGCGCGTTGCGCGAATTCGTATCGGAAAATGTGGCACATACCTGAAGGACTAGAGGCGCGACTCGCGATTGTACGGGACTCAAGACCGCCACCGCCGGGAGGTTATTGCGTGCGAAAATCCGAAGGGCAGCCATTTTGGGAGGTTTGGTAAATAAGGGTCGGCGGCCGCCATTGATGCGCACCGCACGCGCACCGTACACCGTACGACGGGCGCGTCCTCCCTCTGGCCTCTCGTGCTCTCTCGCTCTCGCCTCCTCGTCACCGCGGCCGAGTCGCCCGAAGCCTCGTATCGCGGGCGCGGGGCGACCGCGTGTCAACTCGCGCGCGCCGGTATCGTGACATTTGTTTTTCTCGCTCGGGTATCAGGCCCATCAGGCCCGGCCACCGCTGCCATCGACAAGGTAGGTAAACGTGGCCATGCGCGCTCGCTACGAGGAGCTACGCTCTACGCTAGAATCCGCGCTGTAAAAATTCAATTGTGTGACGCCTGTGCCAGCGAGATCAGTTAGCGCGTATGTACCGTAGCGTTTCAAGTTTCTGTGAGTGCTGGAGTCGTGACCGGGACCGGGGTGGAGTGACGCGACGCGACAAAGTGAAGTGAAGTGAAGCAAAGCAAAGCAAAGCAAAGTGTGATGAGGTGAGGTGAGATGAGGTGAGGTGAGGTCAGACGAGGTGAACACAACTACATAGTGACCGGCGTCGTGCGACAGTAGTCTCTCTCTCTCTCTGCCTTTTTCAATTGGCCGCATTCAATTCCGGTCGACCGGCGCAATCGCTCGGTCCTATTTCGGCCCATCTCGGCGGTGGAGCGGACGACGAAAGCACGAAAGCGGCGAGGGTGCGCGCGACCGAGCGGGCTCGGCGGAGCAAGCGTTGCGCGCGGCGCGGCGCGCCGTCTTGTTATCGCGAACGGACTATGCTCCTAGGTCAAGTCGCGCGCCACGGCCGTCAGGTGGCGGTAGCCGGGAAACTGTGGGACGGCGCATAGACACCCTGCAACGGGACTGTCCTTTCCACGAGGATTGTTTTCCGCGTTTATTCGCAATCATCACGGACCTACGGCAGGATTTTCGCTTCCCAAGGTGAGTACCGCCGTCGGAGCCGCGAGGGCACCCGCGATCGATCGCGACCGCGGGCTCACCGCGTCGCCCTACTATCCCCAAAGTCGGAGGCGAGCTCCGACCTTTTGTTTATTCCTACTGATTTTTCCGTCTCGCAATTTGTCGCGATGATTTCGTCGTCTTCCCGGAGAATCCCGAGCCGATTTCTCGGCTCAGTAGTTGACGTGTGGTGCGCGCTTTCTCGCGAGCACGAAATTGTTACCATCAGCTTGACGCGAGTCGAGATATCGCGCGAAATATTTCAGCCGCGAGAGCGGTTCTGAGAGCGCGGCGGAGTGTCGAGCGCTGAGCGCTGAGCGCAGCGAGCGAGGCGCTCCGTGCATCCGTGTGTTAACGCAAAGTTTGTCACGTAATTTTTCTGCTCGCCAGGGCCGCATCTATCAACCCCGGCTAAGCCTTTTTCCTAGCCTCCGCTAGCTCCTGTGTCGGCTACTACGTTGGACTTGACGCCGTGCGCGCGCGCGCTCGCGCGCGCGCGCGGCTACTTTTCTCACTCCCTGTTGCTGTTGCCCTTCCGCGGCGAGGCGATGCCTCTCACGCTCCCTCGATTCACGAGCCTCGCTAAATCGTGCGTTTCACACCGTGAAATGGTATCGCGCGCGCACGCTACGACTCCTTGCAAAACGTGAATTTTGACTCGCCATTTTCCTTTTACATGCTAGTCCATCTTTTCATTGATTTTTATAAATGCCAGATATTCGTACAATTTCTTTTTGTAATTATCTTCTATCGATCAGCTCCCCAGACTTTTCTCTCGCGAATTTTTTTTTTCTCCATCTCAATGTTTTTTCCGTCCAATTATTCGAGTGCGACGAGTTTTTTTATATGTATAACAACACACTCGAGCAATTGTACAACTTGGTTGCAACTATTGTAATAATTTGCAATGTTATTGACCATGTGTGTAGTCTGTCGAAAAAATTCAATGTAAATGACGTTACAGGAGCCCAATGTGGGTGGAAGTGAGATGGCATCCAGGGAAAAGAAACCCTTAGCGCCTTCCAAATCGAAACAGAAGGCGAGTAACGAGTCCGTCTTACCATCCAATGAGGTCAAGAGCAAAAAAGGCAAGTCATTGCCGAATGTAAAGCAGCAGCAGCAGCAGCAGCAGCAGCAACTTGCGCAAGAGATTTTTGATACAGTAGCGACAGGTAGTCAACTTCCTGTAAAACTAGAGGCGATCTTACCGCGTAGGAATGCCCTTAAAAATCTGAAACGCAAACAGAACCTGAGAGCAGCCAAGGCAAAACTCATCAAGTCCAAGGTTACCAAGAAAGTGACCAACAGGATAGCTCCTGACGTTAAGAAGGCTACCAAGGGTGCGAAGAAAATTAGACAGTCGGAAGAAACGACCGTCAAGACAGCTGATATTGTTCCGAAATTTTCAGAAAATCAGACAAACAACGGGGACAACGAAGGTAAAGGAACCGAAACACCAAGTAAAAGTGCCAAGAGTAATCTCAGGACAAAAAAAAGTAAATCTGACGTTCAAATTAAAGAAGAGGTCAGTGCTACGTCTAGTACTAAAGTCAGTCCGAAACTTGGCAGAAAAGGTAAAACGACGGAAAATAGTCCTGATTCTTTGTCTAAGAGTGCCAAAACAGTAAGATTAACAAACTTGAAGAAGAATAGTACCAGTCTTGTAAAAATTACAGAGGTTGATAATAGGAGTGGGAAAAACCGGAAGAGCACGGGCAAGGAATTAGATTGCGGTAGTAGTGCAAGAAGCAATACTAGCATTGAAAAATTTTCAAAGGCGATTTTAGATAACAAGAATTCTATTGATCTTACTATAGACGAAGTCATTGCTTCAATGTTGACCGATTCCGAAGTTGAAGGCCAACAAAGCGTTACGGAGAAGACTGAAGGAAAGGTGACGAGGAGTAAGAAAATGTTGATAGATGAAAGTATCGCCTGCGATATCGAGATAAAGAAAGAACCTGATGTCGACGATATCAAAGTTACATCGGACGGGGAGTCTATAGAGACGGATCAAGGATTCCAGAATGCCATCCAGTTGAGAAAAAGATCAAAAGTCGGTTACATCGAGCAAACGTCTCAAAGAAGTTTGCGAAATGGAAAGCAGCGTCAACTGACTGATTTGGGAAATTCCGCAGATAACGCAGATCCTAAAAAACGGCACAGGCTAAATTCTGATGGAACTGCAGATAATTTGATAGAACATATCTCGGATTGTAATGTAAATATGGACTCTTGCTTTTCAGACCCTGATGAATCTCAAAATATTGTAGCATCGAGTAAAGAGGAGGCTTGTTCCAAGGATGAGTCGTTCAATTTCGATGAGGACATTGAGACTGGCGCGGAGATAGAGAACAATAATAATAGCGATCGGGCAGACAGGACAGGCGAGACCGGACCGACCCTGCGTTCTAAAACTAAAGCTAAAACTATAGAAGGCGAAGATGTTAAGACGAAAGACGAGGATGTTAAAATCGCTGAAGACGCGCGAATAACGGCCGGTAACAGGTGTGGGGAAGAAGATTCAAAGAAACTCAATAATTTCGAGCAAATAAAGAAAGACAACGTTTTAGCCAAGTTCACAGAAAAGTCTAAAGGTCGTAGAAGTAGTTTAAATATAGATATGAAAAAAACAGTCAATTCTTTTTACAGCACAGATAAATCAGATGGTAGCTCAAAATCGCATATAGATCAAATGATTGAAGACATCAAGTTAAATATTGTAAAGTCTATTGAAAACAAGATTTTTGGTCCGGAAAAGGGTCTTGGATTAAGTAAAAACTTTGACGTGCCTAAGATTGAAGAAGTTGTCGCACCACTCAGTACAGAGTCTCAAAAAATGGGACTAGAAGACAATACCGACGAGGATAAGTCCACCGTTACGAAAAATGAAATCACGTCAGATAGTTCAGAAAATTCCGTACCAAAAGTGGCCGATACTGCCAAAGAGATCGAAGAGAAACTAGTCAAGTTTGATATTGGGGAAGCAGAGACACATTCGCAGAATGTCCAAGAGAACAAGTCCTCCGATAATGACGGAATTAATGACGTACATAGTACTTGCGAATCTACATGTAATTTAAATAATAGTAATGCTGCGCAACAATCTTACGAGAATGTGAATGAACAGCAAGAGGAGAATGTTAGTTGCAGTACAGCTAGCGGCGCCTTAATCTGCGTCAGTAGCAACGAGTCAAAGACATTGGAGGAAAATAAGAAGATTACGAGAAAGTCTTCGAGAATCAATGATAAAAGTTCGGACAGTGTCAGCAGTAGCGAAACGAGAAAATCGAATAAGACACCAAGTAAAACAGTCCCAAGATCGGATAACACGGAGGACATTGTAGCAGATATGCAAAAATCTACGAGCGAAGAAACAATTTCAGAGGATCAGCTTTCGGTTGAAAATGCTTTGGTTGAAAATGCTGTACCAGTATGTGCATCGATGTCTCCTGACCAAGCAGAGAAGAGACTTACAGAAGGAACGGAAGAGAGATCAGAAACTGAAATCTCCCTAACCGTTATGCATAATTCAGAAGAGTCAGAAACATTGGAAAGTATATCTCGCGAGGTAGAAAGATTAGTAGCGGGAGACCAATCTGCCGATTCATTAGCAAATACTGTAAATACTGCAGACACTGTAGAAAGTAAAGATGCGATTTCTGATACAAAGATATTGGATAAGGAGCAGGAGAACCAAAATATAAATAATCAGGAAGCATCTGCTTGCTGCAATGACAGCTCTGAGCCATTAGGATCAGCTGTCAGCAAAGAAACAAACGAAACATCGAGCAAAAGTTATGTAGGCGGGATGTCTACTGAAATGTTACGAGAGATTGATGCGTCTTCTTGTAAGGCGGCGGAAAGCGCAAGACGTTCAAAAGTAAGCAACAACTTACTACAATCAACTACTGTAAACTGTGATGCAAATAATGCACGTAGCCCTGTAAATTCTTCGTTTATACATTGCACCTCTGACCGACTGAACGTTGAAATCAAGGAGCTCGATCACGACGGTAATTGTAAAGAACAAATAAACAAGTCTAGCGTTATATCAAATGCGGATGAGAATATTTCGGAACAGAAGCCAGGCCACCAACACGATGAAGCTTTAATGTCGGATCAAAGTAATAGATCCTCAGACAGTAAAGGTCCCGATGAACGGAAACTTCTTAACGAGAAAAACAGGAGAGTGTTACGAACTCGTGACAAGCAGAAGCGAGTCGAAAACAGGCAAATCGCATCTCGCGGCCGAGAACACGCGACGGCTGACAACATAAAAGTCAAAACGGAAGAAGCCGGCGCGATTCAAAAAATGCAAATTTCCGGTGTACATAACGATAACACCGACGAGATAGCGCAGGGCTCGGAGCAGGATGATGCCGAAAATTCTCACAAGACGGAAGATGGAAATAATTTGTTAAACAGCAACGAATTGGATGTTGGCGAATTGGATGTTGAGCCCCAAGCTCGTAGCCGTCGCGGTAGAGAGATGAAAAAACGCAAAGAGGAATTGTCACAATTGTCCAAGACCAAACGTATCAAGCGAGATCTACGAAGGTCCGATCAACAAAACAAAGAAGAAACCTTACTGGACAACGAGGTTGCCAAAATCAACGAGAACAACAGGTCATTCTTGAGCAAATACGGCAGCGCCAGCGCTGAGCGCGCAGATGATTTTCGTGGATTCTTTGAGCAAGGCAGACAAGATGGATTGGACAAGGTCGACAAAGATCATAATTTGCGCAGCAAATCGGAAAACGATATAATAACGATCGTCGGCGCAAAGGCCGGCAAGAGCGAGGAACGACAACTCTCGCGAAATCTATCTGAGAATCACGTGTCGCAACAGACAGCTGATAATATAGATATGCTAGAGAATGAACGAAAGATTCTCAAGACACCAGAGATACTCGCGCACAAGGATTCCGACGAGACTTCCACGTCCGGCGACTCATTCAACAGCGGCACGCCCAAGATTCTGGAAACACCTGAAGACAAGGAGAGGAAAGAATCGATATTGCGATTATTGGGACTCGAGTCTCTGGAGGAGGCTGCCAAAAGACAAAATCAACAAAAGACGAAGAAGGAACAATCGTCGTCGTCGTCGTCTACAGGTACTTTGAAAACGATCATCAGAGTGTCGCAAAAGGACAAGGACAAGAGAGGATCGCGATCTCCGTTGAAAATGGTTCTCAAGCAGCAGGGACGTGGGGACGGAGAGAGTGATTCACCCGAATTCTACACCATTCAAAAGGAGGTAAGGAGGACTCGAAATTTTTTGCTCGTTCGCATAGAAAATGCGAACTCAACTTCGCTTACATACAAATATTTCTTACTACATTTGTCTTCCCTTATTCCTTTTAATTCCCTTTTTTTTTTCTTTAGCCGATTTTGTTTCTTCATTTCGTTTCTAGAATTGTGACATTATTCGTATTTAATTATCGATCTTGTAGTGGCCAGTCACATTTCTAGTATACGATCTACATGTCTTTTTTTTAAGAGATTTATCCTTGATTTTCATGCACGTGTCAGGCGTTTTATAACTAAATTTCAAGATTTCCATCCCTGCGTGCATAAAAAGCAAGAATTTAAAAGATCTTTAAAAGAAGATGATATGTATAATATATTGTTATTGAATAGTAAGCTAATGAGTTAATTTGATACGATTATATATATTATATTACTTTTTTTTATCAATCCAATTATATTTTGTTTCTTTTTTTTTTTTTTCAGTTTGGAACCAGTGGTTTGGGAGATAGCAGCTCTGGTGCGAACCGAAAGTTCACTACTAACCACAGACATTCTTGCGGTAATCCTGGTTGCGGGAATAACTAAATTGATAATCTCACTTATTTTTTCCTTAATTACCTTTTTTCCGAAAATCTCACATGTTCTTTTATTTTAACTGATGATTATTTAGACTAGTGTGGTATAGTGAGTGATTGTTCACATTTCCACTTTGGATATTTTGGAGAATATTCAATAATCCAAACGTTAACGCGTTCTATGCTCATTTTTGTTTTCTTTCATGATCTTTAAAATTATAATTTGCTATATGCTTAAGGCAATTAAGAGAATGCACTGCGCAAAATCTTCAGTATGGTACATGATTAAATATATTGAAAAGTGATCATATTTTGTTTGTCTCTTTACAATCTGATGTGGAATACTGTGCACAACACTTGTTTTACAGACCACTAGTTCCAAAAAACTACACTTACTCTAACCTGATATTTTTTATAACAATGCATGCCAGTTTTTTTTATTTTTTTATAGCTGTTTGCTTTTCAAATTAAAAGTCACCCGCTAATCTTTGCATCCTCACTAATATCGCAGTGTTTACATTATCTAAGTCAGAAGAAAAGTTTTATGTCGAAATGCAAAATTCGATAAAACATTATCTAATTCATCAATTTTATTATCGTAGATGACGATAATGAGGAGGCTACGCCTAAGGATCGTCAGTCACTTGTTATTCCAGAGAAATCATCTTCTTTCTCTATACATCCTGGACGCGTGTGTGCCGACGTATGTTGTTATTGCTTTGGGAAGTTTGGTTCTTTGGACACGCCAATGCATCTGGCCCAAATAAAATCTGATGAAAGACGCAAAAAGATTTTGAATATAGAGAGACATCTCACGAAAGACTCGTGCCTGTGCGACGCATGCTATCGTCATGTCGACAGAAAGGTTCGTTATTGTATCGTCATTTCTTAATGATGACAATGATGACAATGATGAAAAATCTGCAAATTATGTAATATGAATTATTATTAACTTTTATTTATTTACATTACTTTACGGTATTTCTTACAAGTTAATTATATGTATAATTAATTCTGACTTACTTTTGACTGAAAAGATCTAAATCTTACTTCTTTAGGCAAATACTAGCCCGGCAAATATGCAGCAGAAGCCGCAGAAACAACACAGACAATTGATGATGTCAAAATGCTCAGCTCGCGAATGTCGGGACCCCGCGCGACATCATGTTAAACGCCGTTGGTTGCTCAAGATAAGAACTGGCCTTCAAAATCAGGTTAATATTTGTAACTCGATTGCTTGCTAGATATCTAGCTAGATGTTTGCGTGTCGTTGGTGCATGCACACGAGAAATATTATTATTGCAGGTCGACATAGACTGGGACTCGAGTCAACACACCACAATGTCGTTCTGTGTTAATCATTATGAGAAGATCGGACGCTTCTTGACGTGCGCGCTCTGCAAGCGCCGACTCGTTCGACAACACACTCACCAGCTAAGTAACGCGGAGATCAACGAATTGGATCACCTGCTCAGTCAACAAGGAATCCCCGTTTTATTAGCAGTCGGCACGTTCGTGTGCAAGCTATGTCGTTACTTCGCACAGCTGCAACTCAAGTACAGGGAAATCGAGAATATGAGCATGAATCACAGGTCCTACTGCAAGAGTTATCGAAAGCGGTGAGTATGCAGACTAAGTATATATATAATTATTAATCTCTAATTACAAATATATAGTGAGCATAAAGATTTAAAGAGAAATTTGAGAAATCAAGAAACAAATAACTGACGAGGAGTGCTTTCTAATATATAGGATCCTGCATAATCTCGGAATCGACGTAGCCGAGGACGAGGATGACGATTCATCGCAACAGATGAATCAAGCGAATCAGACCAAGGACAAGAAAAGCAAGAAGAGCATCAAGAATTTGCAGCCTAAATATGGGAGCTCCAAGTCTCCAGAGCGCACGACGAGCGGTACGTCGGACAAGTCGACACCGGAACCGAATAAGAATGAGAATACGGTGGAATGCAACTCCGCGATAGACAACGATAATCGCGCCTCCAAATCGGGCAACGACGAGAATAGCGGTATGGATGTTCAATATTTCGAGAGCACCGTGGAGAACCTAAAAAAGCGGAAAATGCTCGATTTGCATTCCTACACGTCAGGCGCGTCAATCTCTTCTCTGTGTGGTGACGGTACATTGGTGAATGGGATGACGCTCGGGATGGATGAGGTTACTTTGACGCGATTGCCAAAGAGATCGAGGCTCAATAACAACAATAACAACAGCAGCAGCAGCAGCAGCAACAACAACAACAACAACAACAACAACAACAACAACAATGACATAACGCCTGTGGTGCAGAGACTCGGTGCAAATCCCTCCATAAGCGTACGAACGCTCTTTCCGGGCGAGGAGGAAATGAATCTTCATGTAAACATCGAGTTTCAGAATGTGCGCGAAGTCACGCCACAAGGATGGGAGAAATGCGCAACGATGATCCAGTACGATCGCGAGACCAAACATCTTTGGCAGCAGTTACAGCGACCGTACGGTAATCAGAGCTCCTTTTTGCGACATTTAATCCTTCTGGAGAAATATTATAGAGCTGGCGATCTGATATTGGCGCCAAACGCTTCACGGAATGCGATCAATTATTCTACATCGGTGCAAAACAGACTGATATCGTACGAAGGTCCGGAGAAAATGGATGAGCCTATAATGGAACCGATCGCGACGGAATACAGTAATCCGCGCCGTTTGAGCGGCGGTTACGTTTTGGAGAAAGACCGACTGTCCGTGCCCAGCACGAGTTTGATGTCAAGACCATTGACTAGCGGCGTCGGTGGAACCGCAACGGCCAAAGTGAACTCGTCGCGGATGCTGAAACTCAACTCGGGAGTGTCAATCATAAAAAAATCTCCTCCAAACTTGCAACGATTGAGTCTACCATCTACTAGCAGCGGTGGCAATAGCAACGGCAACGGCAACGGCAGTGGCAGTGGCAGTGGCAGTGGCAATAGCAATAGCGGTAACAATAGCAGCGGCAGTAACGTCGCTGCCGTGACGACGAACGGTGGCAGTCACAACATCAAACGGAGGGACGGCCAGGGTTTGTCCTCCGTTTACGGCAGCGGCGGCAAGCTGTTTCAATTGTGCGAGTCGGATATGAAGCGAATGCAAACGTTAAAACGGCAGAAATTTAATGACAGACCTGCCGGCACGAACAATGGATCGCCGAATAGCGGAAGCTTCAGATCGCAATACCAGAAGACGCAGATTGCCGTTCCCGGTCATAACCAGCAATTTCAAAGACACTTGCGAATGCAGCAAGAGATGTTGAATCGTCAAAGCCGCGGTGACTTTGAGCCATTGATATGCGACATTACACGTTCCGCTACCTGCGCGAATGAAAACAGTCCGACAACCAGTCAGAATATCCTTCACAACCTCAATCTGCCGAAATCGATCCAGGTGACAACCAAACCAACGTCGTCAACGAGCAATCCGATTCCGATTTTGCCGAAAATCCCGAAATCTTTGACGGTAATACCGCAAACCGTCACGAGATCCGTTGAAAAATAAGAATGATACAGACGTAAGTAGACGTTGTGTACACAGTCACTTTTTTTTTCTTTGTTTCTTTTTCTCTTAAAGGAAGAAACATAGGGCGGTAAGGTCGATTGTACAATATTGTATTTGTACACTTTTTTACGCGTTAATATCGATCAAATTTCAAAATTGCTGCCAAAGTGAAGCAAGATGATGATAATGACGATTACGGTCATTGCTCGGAGAACAATGTTTGCCTTACGTGAGCGCGCATATGCACTTACCGAGCCTGAGCGCTCAAAAACACACAATGATTTTATGGTTAAGACGAGACAGACTATAGCAATTTATATACTTGTTGCATCGATCGTGATCATAAACTTGTAGATAGATTAGTAGAGGATAATTCGAAGAAATTCAAATACTTTGATTCTAACGATACATATATTAACAACCAAAGTTTCGCTATAAAATGCATTAATGAGAAACGTATTGAATAATGCTGTTTCCATGGAAAGTGCCTAAAGTGACACGAGATAGGGCGGGCAACCGTAATATTAATTATGTAATTATATGCATATGTACGAAATTCGAATTCTCGATGCGGTACATACACGTAAAGGTGTATGTATGTACATACACCGCGCGAGTCTCTAATAAGTATTGATACAATTCGCAGAAGAAAGAATGATCTTTCGTGAAAAAAGATCGATATACGGCCAAAGCTTTACAATGACAATACAAACGGATTAAAGTCTCAAAATTTATTTATATCTAGAGTGTCTTGTATTATAGAAGGTGTAGAGGACCATAATTGAGAAGATAATTCCCCAAGCAGAAGCCTCTTTGGGCTTCTTCTAGTTGAGCGCGTTGCTTGATTATGATTATATCGTCAAACACAATCAAATAGACGCATATTTTTTCGCGATTTAGTAATTTTTTATTCAACTTTTTTTTTCTCCAAGTTTGCAATAATTGAAAACTATTTGCGCAATTTCAATCAGACAATTTTATATCTCTTTTCGATTTTTTCTCACGAGGGATCACTTCCTTACCACCGATTATACGATCGATTTATCAAATGTCCTACGTACGGAGAAGGAACTTATCACTTCAACAGCATTGCGTCAATTTTAATTTAAACATACAGCTTGCGTCTTTTCTTTTTTTTCTCTATTTAGTTCTCTAATTAGAAACGTAGTAAAAATGTGTGTACTAAATGAGTAGGCTCCTTCATGATTTATCACAAACGAAAGAATTTAAATTGTAAAGGTGACTTACTGAACTTGCTTTTACTTGATATTTTCTTGATCGACATATCGAACATATCTATTTTATTGAAAAGGGAGATGGGTGGTAGGGCGG